CCCGCGGCGCCTTTGTACCCCGCCGCCACCGCTCCAAGCCCGGAGAGGGTCGCACGGAGCTCTCCCTTCCGCCACCCCCCACCCCCGGCCTGGCTGGCCCTGTCGCTTCAAAGCTGCCCGGCGCGTGCCAGTGCCCGCCGCCCGGCTTCGGTCCCGCCGCCTTCCTCGGGCCCAGGCCGGCCCGGATCTGGCCCGTGGGCACTGTGGCGGGGAGGAAGAGCCCTCTAGGGCTGCTGTCGCCGCTGTCTTGTCCAGAAAGGGGGGTGGGGTGGGGGCGGGGATCGATTCTCCACGCTGCTCGGCGCCTGGGAACGCGGCTGCCCCGGCAGGCACATCAATACCCAGGGCAGAGGCGGGTGCGGGGGGGAGATTCCTCGGCTCCAAAGACCTGGGGGGTCCACCCGGACCCAGAAATTTCCCCTCCCCCCGCGCCGAGGCCCTGCAGAAGCCAATCGTTCACTCCTCTGCTACAGAGCTCAACTGCAGAACTTTTGCAACTTCCCTGCCGCCCTCACAAGCAACCGTGGGGGCCGCATTGCTCGGAACCCCATTTTACAAACCCCCAAACTAAGGCCGTGAGAGTCCTCTAAAGGGAGATGTCCAGACTTGAACCCAGGGACTTCTCTGGAGATCACCCTTCCTGTCAGCATAGCTACTGAAGTCCAGCCTCCTGGGGACCAACTGAGGGATGGCACTGGGACCCTGCTGTGGGGCCTAGCCAATGCTAGGGCAGGTGCCCCAGATGCCTCCTCTGCTGGCTCCCTGGGCCTCCAGCCACAGCCTGAATAGTAGGAAGGAGCGGAGGACCCTGCACCTCCCCAAAGTGCAGGCTGAAGCTCTCCCCAGAATATCAGCGGTCTTCCCCAACCCCCACATGCACTCGTGGGACTGAGAGAAGGCCCAGGGGAGTAGATTCCCAGTTTGGCTCACCCCATCTGCCTCCCAGCTGGAAGAGTCTGGGATGGGTCCTAACAGTGCCAGAGGGCACCGAGCTGCACCCTGGCCGGAAGCATTTCCAGTCCCAAGGTCCCAGCACAGAGGCCAGCTGTGGCCCTGCGGGAGGGCTGCACGCTTTAATGGGACACGTGTTGTTGCACGGCCCCCACGGGCCCAGCCTGCGCCTGGCTTTGAGTGGCCACAGGCAGAAAATCGCTGCATTGTCCCAACATTAGGGCGACTAATGCAGCATCGCAGGCGCGGCCAGAGCGTGAAGCCTGCAGAAAGGCGATGCCAGCGACCGTTCCTGGCCTCGGTGTCTTTATCAGGCCCGAGGAGACTCTGAGCGCTCTATCATAGCCATTAGGACAACCCGCTGCGGGCTGTGCCCATGAACCTCCCCCAGTGGGCGATCCCCGGAATGTTTGGACACATGGGCCTGTAAGGACTTGGCAAGTGAGCCCAATGGTGAGGCCCAGAACCTACCGGGACTGGGACAGGACAAGCATGGAGAGGATGGGCATGGGAGGGGTCCCCAGGTTCAGGAAGTGGTGGGGATGAGGAAGATAAAGAAAAGATTGAGAAAGGAAAAGGGGTCTTGAGGGAGGGCGGAGGGGTGCTGAAAGCAAGAGAAGCTATGGGAGGGGGACGGAGGGAGGGGGGGAGTTTCCTGGTTCTGTCCCCTCCTCCTTGGGGTTTCCGGGTCTGGAGGGGCTCATTGATATGTAAACGAGGGTCCCCTTTAAAGGCAGCGCCACCTCCTGCTGGCGCAGACGCGGCAACATGGGCACTGAACCTGCCACCCGGGGCAGCTCCGTCGGCCCCGCCGGCAGCTTCCGCAAGGTCTGGGGGCCTCAGGGACGCGGGGTGGGGGTGGCAGCCGGGAGGGCGGTGGCCCTGCCCTCTAAAGGGTGCCCCTCCGCAGATCTCCAAGCCGCTAATGGAGAAGAAGCGACGCGCGCGCATCAACGTGTCGTTGGAGCAGCTCAAGTCGCTGCTGGAAAAACACTACTCGCACCAGGTGAGACCGGGGAGGGGCGGGGATGGCGGGGTCCCCCCACCCCTCCACCTCGGGCTGCTCGGCTAAGAGCCACCTACGGATCGGCAGATCCGGAAACGCAAGCTGGAGAAGGCCGACATCCTGGAGCTGAGCGTCACCTACATGAAAAGCCTCCAGAACTCGCTGCAAGGTAGAGACGGAGGGCCCGGAGGAGGTGAGGCGGGGAGCGATGTGTGCGGGACGCGTGGGGTCACAGCCACGGGCACCACAAGGCCAGAACAGGAGGGGTGCGTGGAGAGCAGAGCGCCAAGCCGGGTGGGCAGCTGGGTGAGAGGGGCCCAGCGCGCCGGGGACAGCGGAGCGCAGCAAAGGCCCGGAGGGCAGTGGGCCTGTGATCGGGCTGGGTGCAGGTCGAATCCGGGGTGCGCATGCGGGTTGCCTCCCTCCCCTCCCTTCCCCTCCCTTCTCTCCCCTCCCCCTC